CAGTGACGTTTAGCCAGGTACATTTCAGTTGGCATCACATGGAAGCAGCTTCGATCATCACTCGTTTCGAAAATTGATTCTGCCAGCACACCACGGTGTGGTTGGGAACACCTTCTTCCATAACGTCCAGAAAGAGTAAGAAAATGATTCCGTAGGAAAATTCTTGTGTCCTACCAGGGCACAAGGATTATAAGATCCGACAATGCTCTTCATCCGTCGATCCATATTCGTATTCCATGCTGTCTGGTTATTTATTTACTCGTGCTCATGCATCATTCTTCATGAATGGAGGAAAAAGACATTGATCATCATATTGATTGCGTGAATGCCGTCATACTTTAAAAAGACTCTCATTAGGTACTGACACGAAGAGCCTCATATCGGCACAATTGCCACAGACGCGGTCGGCAATGGAATACGGAAAGGCTTGGTCTATTGTCCTCTTGTTGAAACTTTTTGCGATTGCCACTCCATCCTGCCTGAACAGTACATATTGCAGCTCGAAATGGGATTTCCAAGGTGAAGTCATCCGTGTCGGCGTGTTGTGCAGTTCACCATGGATCTACTGGAATCCGACCGACAAACCCCCATCCGGTATGGAAGAATTGCACGGGCTAGAAGGGTACATGCTTCGAGAAATTTCTCGGAGGCTCAACTTCTCTGTGGAGTTCATTCTGCCCGAGGATGGATCGTGGGGAGAAATGTTGGAGAACGGGACGTTTACGGGTCTCCTGGGTCTCGTGAATGATGGAACCGTTGATTTGGCAATCTCTGGTCTTGACCCTTCTTGGGAAGGATTCCATTATGGCAATATAGACTATTCCGTCCCATTCTTTAGCGAATGCCTGCGATTCGTCACTCGTCCTCCTCGGCCTTCCCCCGGCTGGAAGAGATTGATAGAACCCTGGAACTGGACTGTGTGGGTCGCCACGATCGGATTCCTACTCTTGGCAAGTCTTGTTCTCGGTCACTGCTTGGAAGGCATCGGGCTCTGTAATGCTCTGTTTTTCTTCACATTTGTCCTTGCAAGTCAGAATGTGAACATCAGATTCAATAGTGCTTACGCGAGCAGAATCCTGTTTGTATTCACGTCATTTTCCTTCATGATTCTTACGACATCGTACTCGAGCAGCCTGGTCTCGTTGCTTACTCTCCCTCCTGTCCAATCCAGACCCAAATCCTTGGCGGAGCTAGTGAAATCGGATTACAACTGCGGGAGTGTGGATTACGAAGACGGATTAAAAATGGATTTCCAGGATTCTGAAGACCCATATTTGACGATCCTAGCTGACAAGATGACCTTGATTCCCTTTGACAAGGCCTGGGATAATCTTCTTCCTCTCGATAGTATCATGACCGAGTCCTTTGCCCTCATCGAATGGGAGGGCCTCATCTGGGCCTTGGGATACGATCAAAGGGAAAATTTCGTCGTCAACCCATTCCCATTCTTCTGTAAGCCAGTGATCTGGGCCATCGGGAAGGAACTGAAGGGGTTAAAAGAACCTCTGAATTGGCATCTGATGATGATGATGAAAGGAGGCTTGGTTCAGCAGTGGTGGAGTACTGCCTTGGGTGATGCTCTTCATCGGAGTACTAATGTCACAAATGCTACCCTGATTGGGAGGCACGAAAAGTCTAACAGGAAGGATCCTCTGCCTCTCTCCCAATCCCATCTTCAGAGTCCTTTCATCTTTTTTATCGCCGGGTGCATCCTTTCCTTATTCGTCTTTGCCTTGGAGCTTCTCATCCCTCGATCGCGAGGCTTCTGTGTTGTGCAGCGTCGTTTTTAGGATGAACTGGATCTATCCAGTTGATGCTGACTGGAATTAACCTCAGAACGCTATGTGAGGACTGAATTTGTGAGTTCACCCCCTTTCCGTATCCCTTCCCATTGCTGCAATAGATTTCATTAAATGGAAAACACTATCCTCGTAATTTGTTAGCAAACCATCGTTTTCACGTCTCAATCTCATTATAACGCCAAAATCGAACCAATTCTAAAGAAAAAGGCAAACCCATGTTTAGTAATATGATATGATCTTGTATCCCAAGGTAGTATGCAGTATTTCCATGGTATGGTATATATATTCCAAGTAAATGCTAGGAATTTTCGATGTCCTTGAATTTTTGGAATAGTTGCTACTTTTCCTGAATTTCTTCCCGGTAGTAAATTGCTGGTCGTAAAACCGCCATTCTCTGTGAATACGTGATGGCCTTCTGTGATGGTCATCAGTAAGATCCATCGCGGTAAATGTTTCACATGGATATCATGTCTATCATACCTGTACGAAGCATCTCAGTTTATGGAATTGGAGTAGGAAATGTGGACACAGCCACTCTTAATACAGGGTGATCGAAAAGTCACGCAACCCAAAAAGATGTCTTGGTGGCTATTGAACGTCTTGTGAACACCCTGACTTCGTTGTGTGAACAACTACCACTGAGTCTTCAAACTGAAGTTATGGACGTTACAAAAGTGTAACTTGGCTCCAGAAAAAGATAAAGTTTCTGTGCTGTTGGTCATGGGTAACGCGACTTCTCGATCACCTAGTAGATCATCACCTATTCATCGTATTCATTATCATTCACCTTAGTTCATCTTCTGCTTTACACTATCAGCAGGAGCTCCGTTCATTCTCAATGCCTAACTTCTTTTCAATAATTTGATAGTATTGCTTCGGCTCAGCGAATTCGGATGCCACTTTGAGAATCATTTGGGAACATGCTCATACATGCATAGTGAACCGTTTGCAAGAATAGCTTCTGTGTGAAGGAAGATATTCATGGCAAGATTCAAAATGTTGGTTCATTTTAAAGGAGAAGCTGATGCTAGAAGCAGGAGGATTCCGAAGACCTTGTCAAATCAGTTCCAACACCGTCGATATCAGTAGGCGTGGTAGCGCCTACTCCTTTTTTTCCAACCCCTTCCCGTTACAAAATTCCTCCTCTCTGTACTCCTATTTGAGAGCATCTGGAGGATCGGAATTGGACATGCTTCTTACTCGATAAACACAGAATCGCTCTGGCAAATTCGACGCTCCATTTTCCCTGAGTTGGAGAGAAAACAGAATCTCGTTTTTGGACGATGCGAATTTCATGCCAATTTTTCTCTCCCCTCCTCATCCCCTGGATAGCCTCTCTTGGGGATTTTCGGGAGATAGTCAAACTAAAATAAAGATATGGGACCTGCTCCTTGTCTCTGCTAAGCTCATTCTAAATCTAATCCTAATCTAAGCCTGATCTCAAAGGATCGCAAAAAAAACCAAGGGAGTCTGCTGTTCCTCATCTCGCTGAGAAATCAGCGCACGTGTTCACCGGGTAGATGAAATGTGGCACAATCGAAAGGGGGGAAGGTCAGGGGTTTGAGAAGTCAAAATCATTTAAGACCTACATCACAGCTTATTAGATATGAATATTTATAGCATATGAGTGCCCTGATTTCGGACTCTCTTGTGATATCGACCAAACATTAATGAGAGTTCAATCCCTTCATCTCAACATTTAGACTGAGACGGACCAGTTTAAAAATCCTCTCCCTTTTAGACGAAGCTTTAGCAAGAGCCTGGGCAAAGAAAAGCCTTTTTGCTATAAGATTAGAATAAGTTTAGATTAAGTTTAGCAGAGGCGAGGAACAGGCCCATGGACTTGTAGAACGAGATATATGTGGTACGAGCTAATACGTAAAATTTCGCTGTAAAAAAATGAAATTAGTCGTCGTTCACGAAGGCTTATCGTGCGGACTCCTGCCCTGTCCACCACGGTTCCCGGATATCGTGCTGGAATCATGGCGGTTTCATGACTGCTTCTGCTTTATAACGTATGATACATTTTTGTGCCGAGTTCATGGGATGAGGCAAGATTGACACAGTGGTTAGCGGTAGCCGATCGATGCAGTGGGAAATGGACTTCCCTGAATGAACAGGATGGCGTCCTACAATCATTGGAGTTTTGGAGGCAGTCTGTCCACAAACATCAGGGTGGTGAGAGAAACTCGAGAATGGCCCATAATCGACCCTATCGACTCAGCACTGAAATGTTTAGATAATCCAAAGAGAGATCCACCATGGTCCTAATCGGTCCGTAAGGCGAGGATTGAGATTCTCATCAGCAAAAAAAGCATTGACCTTGACTTGACATGATCTGTCATTCCTTCTTATTCGAAAAAATTTTAAATCTCTTTTAAGCATCTTCCAAGAAAAAGCTTTAAGAGGGTCGTCGCATGCGATGCCTTCCTTGACAGGATACATTAACTTTATTGATGAGTTAAACCTCAAAGGATCATCATGTCTCATACAGACCTGGTCTTTCACACATTTTTGAGGGAGCTTTGAGATTAAGGCACATGAAATATCCGTCCTACAGGTACAACGGCTCATGCGATAGTAGAAAAGGTTTAAGACCATGTGGCCAAACCACTCAATACCACACGTCACTTTTCCACCAAGTTCAAAGTTATTATAAATTGCTATTCCAAAATTGCCCTAATTTTGCACTCCCCTCCTCGTACATTTCATTCCAGCAACCCGTATTTGTCCAGGGTAGAGCGCTGTCAACAGGAACTTATAATGAAGAACCTTCAAGGATTCTCTTTCTATCGAATGAGCACTTGAGGATAGATACATGATGGTCAATATTTGCGGTAATCGGGCATCGACATGGCTTCTTAAAGCCACACAGGTCACTTTTCCTCTTTCTCTCGTCTTTCTGCCTCGGAATCCCCAGTCTGAAGTCACGTGGTAACGATCATTGAAGTTTTAGCGTTGAGATCGATTACCGATTCGATCGCAAGGATCACAAGCGGGAATAAAACATTCAAATCGTATTTTCCAAATAAGTGTAACCATACAGCCGAGATGGAGAAGGAGAATGAGAATGGAAACTAGAGACGATATGAGCCAACAGCATCACAATCGGCATCATCAGCATCATGCATGACATTGCTTTGTACTTCGAGTGCTGAGATCCACGTATAAGGAAAGAGAATTCACTTTGACAATCGATCATATCTTCTCCGAGTCCTCTGACGGCTTCTTCACCAACGGCACATCCACAAACGGCTTCTCGTGAAGCGGCACCGCCACCTTGTGGCTCCCCGAGGAGCAGGAACTCTTCCTCGAAGCCTGCGGGAGCAGACGACGGCGGCGTGGAGGAACGGGGGACGCTGGCAGCGAGAGAGCAAAGGGACTTGGAGAACTTACGTTGGACCTCAAGTTCTTGACGCCTCTGTTCATGAGACTCTGGAATGTGGAATGGCCCGACTCGTAACCCGTTGAGGGGCGGAGGAAGGAATGTTGTCGTTGCTGTCCCCTGATCGAATTCAGAATCTGCTGTAGAGTGCAAGGCACAAACATCACCTTACGTCAGTATTCGTCTGTCCTCCTGAGCCGGTAACGTTGATGGATGATGGGGGAAGGGAAAATTCTCTACTACCATGCAATCCGTGCAACTACCGAGCAAGCTATCGAAACCGACGCGAAATACCCACTCCCATGTTAACATTTCTTATGTGACAAATCCCAATTTTTTGCAATCTCAAAAGGAAATTGTAATTTAGGCATTTGAGGATTTGAAAAATACGGGAAAGGGCTCAGGAGGCTTCACTTTACCTTGTCAAACCAATTCTCTTGTAACATGACATCACAGCACAACAGGTCAAAATTGCAATGAATCATTAAATTTTTTTCAGTTAATATCCACGAACTTGGCATGGATAGAGGGTATTTCCAAATAAAAGTTTCTACGCATGCACCAAGAGAAAAAGTTTTCCAAAACTCTCGAAAAAGAGTTTCGAAACGGGCCGACTCACCTTTTGTTTGAACATTTTCGTGGTGAGGGTGTAGAGGACAGGATTGAGCGCGCTATTGACCGGGAGGGCGAAAACTGCCAGCCAGGCATACAAGTCCTCTGGGATCGACACACCTGCAGGGTACAATAAGGATTTGTCAGTGACTTTCAACATTAGCAGGTGGCAAAAATCTCATTTCGATCGAAAGCGATTCTTGGCCTGCTCAACTAAGAAAAGCATCCCCATGCGAGGAAGGGTAAAATCAGCATGAATTGATTTGAATATATGGATCTACGGTTTGTCCTCTTGATGAACTTCATCTCGACGGCTTATATTATTCAGGGAATGGAATATCTTGCATTAACTCAGAAATTACCTCGTGAAATTAATTAATGAAAATTGTTATAATTGCCAGTCATCAGCCAGGGAAACAGGAAGGAAAGCACATACAGTTATGTTGCTCAGTTTCTCGTTTTTCCCGTGAAGGCAAAAGCAACCTCTTTAAACTATTCCCAGAAGGGGGTTGAGACAACGCGAGACAACCTATTGCCCTCCACGCATTGACTGCCCGACGAGCGAAAAACTCATTCCAGAACGCAAGCCTCACTCGAGGCTGACGCATCGAGAACGGTTTCCCTATACTTGCTGCCATCTTCGACGTGGAAAAACCTGGCACGCTCCACTTCATCAATCGGTTTAATCATGCATGCCCGAATGTGAATCCCTCCGTTAGCTTTCTCTCAGGCGAATGGGGCCCCAACGCGTCTGGACGCTCGCATTCCCGTCCCTAAACCCCTTTTACTTGCAGGCATCCAAAATGGAACACGATCTAAATGGGGCTCACAACGGAAGAACACGCGAACTCTTATTGGCACTAGAATACCTGATTGCGTCTAATTTTCTGCTACGTTGAGCTACCATCGCCTGCGTCGCCTGTGCGTGATCGGAGAACTTCGACCCTTCATTAACGATCACCCCAAATTACTCTTACTTCCCGAGTCTGTCCTTGTCAAACTATGGCGCCATCATTTTGGTCCGTATACTATAATTACGCTTATTATAATTGCAATACATGGGCAATACATACATACATGCAATGCATACACGAACAATCTAATATATATAGACGATCGTGACTGACGCTAATTCTAACCATGTTCTAGAGAAATTAGAAATCTGAATCTTGGAACACATGTACTTTTTGGGATGCAGAGTTCAGAAAAAATCAGACTTTGGAGGTACATGCACTGGGGGTACACATTTTTGGGGGAGAAGTATTAAAAGATATATATTGTGACGGATTAGGATGCCATCGAGAGGCAAAAGTAAGCAACAAACTCGCTAGTACAATATAATTGCAATACATCATGTCGAAGTTCATCATCCTCAGGACACTAACACTCGTACACATGCAGTCCATAAAGGCACCATTTCTTTTTTTTTTTAGGAATGTACAGACACGATCGATTAAATATTGAACTTCTTAGTCTTCAGATCTTGAGAAACTTTAAATTTCCAAAGTTAATTTGGATTTAGCGAAGGTGCTTGTTACACTGTAGAAAATAAAGGTTCTAGAGTGAATCTTTTATTGAACCATTTTCGTTGAAGAGATGATACTGATCTACTATACGATCTTACTACGATCTTAGATCGTTAACAAGCCAGAACATGAACGCTACGGCCTAGGACAGTCAGACGATCACTCCAACTGGTAACTACAACTAACTTACGCACATTTAGTGAAAAACGGTTCTACTCTCTAAGAGTAAAAAGGGTTCTACTCTCTAAGAGTAAAGGTTCGGATTGGAACCATTTTCGATGAAACATTTATAGAACCATTTTCGGGAAATCAAGCCTGCACGAGCTGAAACTGCTTAACTCTTGGAGTTACCAGGATCTGAAGACTTTGACAAGGCAGATTATCAATTCTACGATCTGAAACATTCATATGATCACTCCCACGAATAACTATTAAGCAAAGATCGTGAAAAAATGGTTCTAGGGATCACAAAACCTAGAGATTCTTGCCGAGCCCCATCGAGAGCTACCAAGTTATTATTATGCCAAATAGTTTTTGAAGTGAACTTTAAACCATTCTAAATGGTTCCTCGATCAGCAAAAACCCCTCTGAAAGCTGAGGGTTCTAGTCCGAACCATTATTTTTTACAGTGTACGACGACCCTCGTGAGAATATTATTTGAACAGCAATAGGCTGCTGTTTCAATTCACGATTCAAACACTATGTTCTTTTTTTTTT